AAAGTGACGTACTTCCTTCAGCCAAGCAGCGGCTCCTTCTGTTGGTGTACTTGGAGAATAAAAGAGGCTAACTGTAACTTGCGTCTTTGAAGCCAGGCAACTTTGACAGCGTGTGAGCTCGGCGATAATAAAGTGCGAAGTGACTCACTAAATCTGGTTCAAGAGAAAAAAAGGCGCAAGAGTTTCTCAGGTTGAGGTGCGTCTGAAGATATGGCCAAGGTACAAGTGTTAAATGTTGCTGTGTTGGATAACCCCAGCCCGTTTGGAAACCCGTTTCAGTTCGAAATAACGTTTGAATGCATGGAGGACTTGCCGGAAGGTGGGTATTTAGCTAGCGTGTCATTCTAGTTGAATCACTCTTTTGTTAGATGTTAGCTGTAGAATAGCAGCGTCGTGTGGGCGCAGTCTGCTTTAAGTGTTAATTTCACCGCTGGATGTATTTGTTGCATCATAAGCAAATGATAAGGACGTTATTTTGCTCGATGGTTATTCAGTATTAGCTGTCGTTTGGGCTGTAAAGTTATATTTCATTTGTAAAGTTGTTGAAAATTGGCGCTGGCGCGTTTGTGCAGAGCGCCCCGCCTCCTGCCCACCGCTATTGGTTAAAGGACCTTCCTCGTAAGTATTTCTCAAGAAGCTGATTGGTCGGTCACATGTTACTGTAGCAATAAATAAGCTCGTAATTTGCCGCGAACCGCGCGACGGGATAGTTGGGAAATAAAATCGTTAAAAGTTAAAAATATAAAATTGAATCCAGCTGGCGTAAATATTAAAATATATATATTTTAATTTCTTCTAACGATCATTTCGGGCTTTAGGACAACATATATTTTTCTTTAAGGATATAAAATTAGCCCGCATTTTCTTCTACTAAATATAGCACAATGGACTTGTGAGCCCTAAGTGGCATTATATTCATTGCTGCTTTGCTGTGAACATTTGGTATCTATAATACTGAAACTTAAGTTTCATTACCTTTCCGATTAAAAAAAAAATCTATTTTCCTGTCAACAAAATTTAAGTATAAGCTTCAGTCTGAATTTATTTGTACGTATTATATCTTGGACCATTTTTACTAGTACTTGACACAGCACCCTTAACATTTATTTGATTCTAAAATCAATGGATAAACAGATATTAAATATAGAATGTACTGAACTGTCTTAAAATCAAGCCTACCAATAGCATCATGCTACAACTGTAGTACTTTAGTCTCCTGTTTTCTGCCGTTCATTTAAAAGTGAGCCCAAATAATATTACCAAATACACATTAGGAGCAAGTGGAGTTTCAAATTTTGTCAGCACCTCAAACAAACTGAATTGCCTTTTGTCTCTTTCGTATTGTGGTGCTAGTTGGACTGAGTCACAAATCTTGTTTTGTTTTTTCCAGTTGTTTTAATCCAGTTATTAATATCCCAAAACAACATTTGCACCATTAAACATTGTTTTTCTCCCTTATATTCAAATCAATAAATTGTGGAAACTTGAGGTTTTTATGGAGACTGATGCCGTTTTGGTTATATCTGGCCAGTGCTACAGGTAAATTTTATTTGCATTACTAATACTAATTAATACAAGGTGAACTAGAACAAAAAGGGACAACCATGAAACATTTTCTATGTAAATTGGATAAAGTGAATGATACCTTCTGATGAAGGTATCATTCACAACACCCTGTTTTACGTGTGTGTGTGTGTGTGTGTGTGTGTGTGTGTGTGTGTAAAAGAAAAAAAGTAGCTTGTGTATGTTTAACTATAATTATTCATTTAAAAAAGTAAAATTAAGCCTACCTTGTAGTAGTAATAATAATAATGATGGTGATCATAATAATAATAATAATTTAAAAACAAACTTCCCTATTTGTCCTCTGTGTACTGGCAGACCTGGAATGGAAGATCATTTATGTGGGTTCAGCTGAGAGCGAGGAGTATGACCAGGTTTTGGACTCTGTTTTAGTGGGCCCTGTACCAGCTGGCAGACACATGTTTGTGTTTCAGGTGAGTCCTCTCAGTGAGCTTTTATCATGTAATACTTAACATCCAGTTTTATTTAAAACAAACCCTGTTGAGTAGTATTCAAAGCAGACATACCAGATCGCACTGTCCCAGCATCTTTTTCCCAGCTTTTCTGAGAGGAAACTGAGAGGTTCCCAGACCGGCCAAGAGACCTCATGGCTGGGTTCTCACTGGGATCAGTGCATGTTGCTACAACACCTGATGCAGAGATGTAGTGGTTCTACTCTAAGCCCAGCTACCCTTTGGAGGATTGTCTCCGCTAGTATTTGTGGTCTACTTCTGTCAGTCTCTACCTTGTATTTTTGTCCGTAGGTGAAGGTAGAAATGTCAATCGAACGCAATAGATCATATAGATCTGTCATTCTCCTGCTCCACTTTACCCTTGTCTCTAAACAAGATCCCAAGACAGATGAGCTTCTCCATGTGAGGCAGCATCTTATCCCCTTTTCTGACTAAGCTTGAACTTTGTGATGCTAATTGTCAACCAAGTCTCTCTGCACTCAACTGCTCAATGAGTTATACAGTACTGTGCAAGCATATACTAAGTCAAGCCTCATTTCTTATTATATTTTGCTATCAAGGAGTCAAGACTTATCATTTTTGTGGTCTTGAACAATAGTTTTCCAAAGTCTTCTGACCTTTCAGTATTTCTTTGGACATTGGCTACTTTTTTCCTCACTAATTTTCAATCTAGTCCTTGTACCTGGATATTTTCAAAGGATTTCTTTTTCTTACAGTCACTTAACAATGACCTATGAACCATTCAAGCGTAAAAGAAAAAAGGCACCTAATGATGAGAAATTTCAGAAAGTGGTGTGAACTTTAAGTGCAGAAAAGTACTGTCAGATTTTTCATCTGATGTATGACTGCTTTTAAGAGGACAAGAAGGCATGGACAAGCACCTCAGCTTGTTTTCTCAAGAAGTAAATTGGAGATTCTTGTCCAAGCCTCCTTCTCCTCTTGCTTAGGTTATTGAATGGAGTTTTCTGTTGACTGAAGCATCTATTAATTCCCTTCAGTCTGTC